CCAGAGAAAATTTGATAAAAATGAGTCATTATCAGTCTACTTAAAATTTCGAAGCTTAGGTGTTTGATGTCTAGTATCTTTTTTAACGGTTTTTGCTTTGTTCTAGGTTACAGGTGCTGTACTTGACAAGTCTGGTGATGTACGGTATGTTTTAAATGGTACATGGGATGATTCACTCGAGTATGCACCTGTAGTGAGTACTAGACATTCACGTAATGGAAAACCAGTATTGGAAACTGGACCTGCACGTGTTCTGTGGCAAAGTAATCCTTTACCACCTGATGCAGAACGAATGTATTGTTTCACGCGTTTAGCATTGCAGCTGAACGAACCTGATGAGGATGTATGCCCTACTGACTCTCGTCTGCGTCCTGATCAACGTCTTATGGAAGCCGGTCGTTGGGACGAAGCTAACAGGGCGAAAGTAGAACTTGAAGAACTACAGCGCCAACGGAGACGCCAAATGGCTGCCGAATTAGCCGCCCAGTCACTTGCTTCTAGCAAACAGGACGAAACGAGCGACACACACAGTAAATCTGAAAGCTCCGTTTCTGAACAATATAACAGTCAATCAAGTCCGTCTGCTAGTAACTTGCGTAAGTTCTCAAGAGTTAGTGGGTTTCTTGTTTTTTTTTAGAGTCTAGGCATATGAATACCATTTATCAGATAATTAAAATAACCCATAGTGTCATTGAATAAGAAAAAGAGAATTCAGCGAAGAAAATTTTCTTTTCGACGAAATCATTTACTTAAGCTGTACATTCGTATATATAGTTATATGGAAAATGTATGTCTATAGAAGGATAGGATGGATTGTATCACAAAAATGGATTCGACAATAAATAACAAATAAGGTTACGTACTAATCAAGGGTAAGGAAGAACAAAATTTAAGGGTCAGATAATAGTCCAATTGACAACAAGTTGTCTTGATTATTATTCAGTCTATTATTGTGACCTTTGTTGTTTTGTCGTTTTTCTTCATATCTGTCAATTGGACTATTTTCTGACCCTTAAATTTTGTTCTTCCTTACCCCTTGATTAGTACGTAACCTTATTTGTTATTTATTGTCGAATCCATTTTTGTGATACAATCCATTCTATCCTTCTATAGACATACATTTTCCATATAACTATATATACGAATGTACAGCTTAAGTAAATGATTTCGTCGAAAAGAAAATTTTCTTCGCTGAATTCTCTTTTTCTTATTCAATACCATTTATGTTTTTTGTATAAATTCCATTATCATTATCACCGCTTGATTACTCGTCATTTCCGCATATATGCACTGAATAGTTTCGTTTTTGACTACACTTTGGAACACAAAACATGGGGAAAATAAGATTTTTAGAAGTATTTAGAATATTCAAAATAACCTGCGTAGTTACTTAACAGTTTGTGACGTCAAATATACAAGTAGTGTGATATGGTGAGTTTTAAGTTACACATTAGGTTTCTTTGTTGAATAAGCAATCACTTATATAGCGTCTTCACTACACATTTACAGGTTTAGACAAGGGATGTTTTCCTTACTCTGTAAAGAACAATGATATTTCGCTAAATACATATAATGCCTTGATCATGTGTGTATCCTATCAGTTAGTGGTGTTCAAACTGAGAATTATCTCCTGTAATATCTTCTTTTTTGGGTTGCAGGTCCGAATACACACACAGTTGTGACTTAAGGCCAAGTAAACAAATTTGTACTTGTCTATTGAGTTCTATTACTAAATTAACATATCCTGCTTCGTGTAATAAATGTCATGTTACTAATGACTATTCATTGATTTCATTTTTCCAGTCGATATTGTTGATAGCCAGCATAAACCATTGTGGTTTACAAAAGAATTCGATCAATTTACAAACAAAGAAACGTATATATTTACTGGAAAATACTGGGAGCACAAATTAATTCATGATTGGTCAATGTGCCCGAAGATCTACTAATCTTCATAAGTGCAGAAAAAGGGGATATACATATTCGCCGTATTATTATTTTTAATTCTTTTTTTTTCTTGCCAGTGAATAACTAAACTAATCGTGATAGATATTATTTGTTTCCGTGTTACAGACACGGAATTATTCTTATACTCTTACAACAGTTATAATATATTGAGTATTATCAATATTCAAGATTGGTATGCACACTTAGATTTGTAATCGTGTTCGAATAATTCAAGGTCATTCTCATCAGTGTCTGTAATTTTTCAAGAAGTTGCCGTTTCTCAGAAATACACATTTTTCTTGTGTTCTCTGATTTCTGTGAATGATCATGAAAAGAAGTCATAAAGTTTAGTCTGATGCTTATCAGTACTAACACTTTCCCATATGCGTATACTGCATTAGTAACTATTTAGTGTGACTGTAGTTCACTTTTCTCACTTGACTCCGTCCAGTTGCATCTGATAGCTATTTACTTCTACTTATTAGCAAACAAAAATTTTCAGTCAAATCCAAACGTTACTCTGATTTCTTACATCAGGTAAACAAACTAAATCCTGCTATTTGATTCATGGTTGTTTCTTTCTCCATACATGTTCTTGATCAGTTATTTACTTTTGTGAAGAAAAAGCATCATATCTGTCTATATTTAATCGGCATGTTCATTTCTATTTTCCACCTGTTCCTTATTTGTGTAGCATAAATTTCTCCTAGTGTTTACAAAAGACACTCATTTTGTGATTAAAAGCTCTCACTCTGTTTAATCTTCCCTATGTTGAATATTATGTTCTACTCGTTTCTCTGTATGATTCGATTTAACTAGAGCTAATGAACTTTGTGCACTGACGTGATCTTTTTCGCTCTATTTCTGTTACTTGTATAATTTCTCAATGAAGCAAAAAACTTTATTCAGCATTCAAATTAAGATATATGATAAATAATGCTCAACTTTCTGTGAAATTTCGTATTTTAATGTTGCATACTAATTGAGAGTTAATATCTAATACTGGATTTACCTTGGAACTGCAAACCATGAGTTTTGAAAATATATATGTTATAACCTCACACTAATCGGTGTTGTGCAATGCCAAATTAATCGGTAATTAGTTACTAGCTGATTAAAGGATACCATGCATTTTAATAAAAGGACATTGGCCACCATTTGAGATAACTTAAAAGTGATAAAAATATGTTAAGACTCGTATTTCAAAATCATTTACGTTTTAATTCTTCGCTTTAATTTCAGTAAATACCCTATCATTTTTTATTCAGATAGACGGATGTAAGAATGTTAATCGTTTGCATTGTTTCTCAATCTGACCTTAATCATATCAGTTACTTGTGTGAGTACAGTTGCTCTGTCGCATAAATCGTTAGGCGAAAATTGGTCCGTCTCATGCAATTGCACCGGGAAGTTAATTTAGATACACAAAGTAAAATAAGGAATATTTTCTAGGCGCAAATGTTTTTGTTCTCTTACTAATACGTAACTGAATCATCAGACCACAAAAGTGCTTGTTCGTTTTTAACCGGTTTTACCCCAGGATTTGGCTAGAACTATTCCTTATGAAATTTTGTAAGTAAAATTCAATGAGTCTAAATGTCTGCGTTATTTTATTTTTCGGAATTAATGTGTGGAATTCGAGGTGCAGCACGGCTGTCTCTCCTGATTTCCAGGATATTATTGCTTGTATTCCTGGAAGTGTTGTTACCAACCGAGATAGCCACAAACATGAACTGTCAGCGTAATCCCAATGATCTCTATCTACAGTATTAATCTAAGTCAGTGCGCATCCTTTATGTTTTACAAGGGAAGTAGACCATACGAACAGTTAAACAGCTGGTGCGATTTATTTGCAAATAAAGCTGTCGGAAATTAAGTTTTTGTGGACTTTTGGGAAGACATGCTGAAGGTTAGTTTAACCGCGTCAGACACTGAGGATGTTTCTGACTTGTTCTTTATTCTGTTTGGTCCTCACAACATAGCTTAAAGTATAAGCTTTCTCCATTTATGTGCGTTCTGGACAGTTTATTTAAGATATAAAGGTTCACATGATACCACTCCACTCATGTATTCAGGATATCCACTTACCCCGTGTATTTTATATGGATTTACCGAGGTAGCTTGTACAGCAGGGTTTTTAATGTAACAACTTCAATAGTTTGACCTATTCCAACAGGCTAACGATACTTACCAAAATTTTGAATGGTTTGAGTGCACTGGTACAGGTTGTCGAGAAACAAAAACATTATGGCTCAGTAACGGATTAGTTACAGCTGATAATTGGACTGCTTTTGCTTCAGGACTGACCTGCGTCATCACCTGAACTAAGGATAGGGAGTGAAGTAGTCCAATGCGTTGACACTCACTTATCATGGGAGTCTGATCAGCCCTAATGGGTTGATGTCTGACGAAACTTCAGCACGGATTCGAAAAGCACGTTTGGTATTTGTCAACTTACGTCACCTATAACGAAGGCGAAATGTCCGTCTATCAATAAAAGGACGAGTATACTGCGCGGCTGTTCGTTTTGTTTTACTTTACGGCAGCGATACATGGCCACTAAGAGTTGAAGATACTCGTAAGCTACTGGTATTTGACCACAGATGCCTTAGAAATATTGCTGGGATCACCGGGTAAGTAATAGTGAGGTTAGACGCAGGGTATTAGGAAATGATGGTAAATCAGTTGATGAGGTTGTGAATCTTCATCGACTGAGATGGTTGGTCCACGTGTTACGTATACCTGAACACCGATTACCACGACGTGCAATGTCCTATGTTGTAGCTGATTGAGCTAATGTCCGACAATCGAGGGCCTTAGCAATCAGTTTGGATGCTCACAGCAGATTATAGAGAGCACTCCAGTACTCATTGTTAAAAATATCAATTTATAAAATCCCTATCAGTCTTTGTAATTTCTTAGGTGGATGTACTCTTAACTTTGGTTTCGACATTCATTGTAGCTGGGAACATGAAACTCCAAGGATAAAATACAGTTTACAGCTTCCTATCGGGCAAAATAATTATTATTATTTGATTAATTTAATCGCGTTATTATTAAATAAAAGAATATCTATTGTTAAGGAAATCTATAATATACATGGAACATTCAAGAGATATAGTCAAAATTTTCAGGTATTTCAAACTGGCGACAAAATGTAGCTTCATCAAGAGAAAATTTGTTATTTAACCATGACTTGATGATAAATATATTATCTGCAGATAAAATGGTAAATAAATAACGCTAATTTAGGTTAAAATTTCATGCTTGATCAGTAACAAGCAACACAGTAATGTAAGTTTCGTTGTTTGCTGCCTTTTTTCTACAAACAGAACTTTTTATTTATTATTTGAACACATATATATTGGTACAGGAGTGCGCCAAATATATATGCGCCACACAATTTCAGTTCATTAATTGCGTGTGGGCTGCGATACTGCCCGGGTGCCCAGACCGAAGCAGGTGGTTATCTTAGGGGGCCACTCACCGAGCCTTTGACCTAAAGGTCTGACCCACAAGGCAGTGGAGCATCGTAAGGAGATGCAATCCCATGGTAGCCGGTGACCGAAAATTGGTTCATACGCCATTTGTTCCCTTAGGATACTGGAGCCCATGTGCACCATAGATTTGGAATCCGGTTAAAGCGCCGGACATTCGCTTTTCGTCCTCATTTTCGTAAACAACACCCCCGCCACGAGAAGGCAGTAAGTAGGACTTCCCTGGTAGATGCTGTATACGCGTGGCCGTGTGAGAGTATTTCGAGAGGGAGGGCGAACCCACCCCGCTCTCGGCCATACCAGGGCATTTGGGGGCTCATAACTTTTACACAACTATTGTTAAAGCGAACCCAGTGGATGTGAAGAAAATAAGTATATAGGTGTAACGTACTCTAAACTGCATTCAGTCACAACATTAACAAGGACGAACAATGTTATTCCTAACCCCTATGAAAGTGTTAGGATATTCGGAAAAATATACCAATAATTATCATGTTAAGTCTAATGGTGTCCTTGGACTTTAAATGGACATTCCCTATTGGTCAATATTTATTTCACTTGTTAAATATTGTACAAGTGTTGTTTCCTATCTTGTGGTACGATGTGGTCTGGTTGATTGGTATATAAACAGAGTATGTTTGAAATATAACGATTCATAACTCAGAGGCTGAGACTTATGTTCTGGACTCAACTGTCTGGGCTAGACAGCGAAGCAGGGCCAATCGGGACTCTAGGTCGTCCGTATGTGTTTTACGTGTCATTTATCTGATCAATAATTCGCTGCGCATCTGATCTGCAGTCACACGTTACAACAGAAAGCTATTTAAGACGCTTTGTGAGGAAAATCCAAGACCATTGGCTTATGATTTAGACACCCGAATATCAAATTTTGGGAACAATTACAAGCTATTCTCTGAAAGATAGTGATTTTAACTCTATAAGCGAAAACTGATGGTCTGGGTTCTGTTGTCAGGTGTAGACCATCTGGTTGACGTCCACACGATAACAGTGGTAAGTAGGTAGAAACGCCGGGATCAGTCACAGTGGCGTATATGGATTTTCCGTTCATCTTCCATCAACTCTTGAGATTCAAAGCTAATTCATACTTGTAACTCCTTAGATTCCTCTCTTCTATTCAAGATAGATTTTTAAATGTTTAATTTTACAAATTAATATTTATACTATTCATGTTAATTTTACTTTGTAAAGTTAACATGGCTTAACGCGGGATGTCCCCAACTATGCTAATCACAACTGACTAGCAGCTAAGGTGAAATTCACACGAATGTCTGGAGTGGCGTACCTATTTATTTTTCGTTTTCGTTATGATATCACTTTAATTAAAGTAAAGGAATATATATATAACTTACCCGTCCAACGATTAACGGAGTCAATAGCCACCAATTCTTGTTGTTTTAGCTCTAACAGACGGTCAGGATCGTATTTTTTTAAATTCTGAAGCGCTGCACTAAGAGATTCAAGCAACAACTTTTGTTCAGTTAGCTTGTTTATAACTCTGTTTCGCTCTTCCTATATTGTGTTCAAGCATTCATCAATATGCATATTTACTGTATCTTTCCTTTTCATCAAAGCTTCGTCCAAAGCTTTAGTTGTCTTAGAAATCTGGTTGCGTGTATTTTGAATATCTTCCATTACTTTTTCTATGTTGTTTCTAAGCTAAATTTAAACATGTTTGCTACTTATATGTGACTTGCTTTTTGTGCAGCTTTACTGGGAAAAGCCCAAAAATAAACACTGGTCCCTATTTTGTCAGTATCGACCAAACCGTCATGAACAAGGCTCATCAACACATCCTTTACAGACATAGAGTTGATACCCTTTTCTTTCTGGCATAACCTCTCCAATTCCTTAAGTTGAAAAAAGTCCTTCTGAATCAAATAGTATGTCAAAACGAAAAGTCATTTACTTTCTCGTAGAAAAAATCCAACATTCTTTGCCGCTTTTCATCGAGACTCAGACCTTTTTTCTTTGACTATATTTAATAATTTTGACACCAGAAAGACATTAAAAATGTGCGAAAATGTGAGTTCATTCGCATACTAAAGATCAATCAGACTATTTAAAAACCAAAAACTCCATTATGTTTATTGCAAGATTGCTAATCCTTAATTTACTTCACCGGAAGCGTTCATAGTTGTTGAGGTTATCGCTCTCCGCCAGGAAATAAAAGTGTGAACTGTAAATTTAGCTAGTCAAGCGCAGTGTGAAACTCGATTCAAGCTGTCACTTCATATTATCCAAGAGACATGAAATTGTCAGAACTAATTCCAAATAGGTAAGCATAGTAACAGGATAATTGGTATCATGGAAGTTTAAACATAGAATATATTATCAGAAGGAATAGGAATTCGTCCAATCGTAAAAAGATTTTAAATCTAGTGACTTAGGATCTAAGGGAAGGAAAAAAGTAAATGCACATGTGCCACTGGAAACCGTTTTCAGCCATATCACGTGAAGCGTCTGACCACTACTTACAATGATTGCGCGAGCCCCAACCAGGCAATCTATATCTGACTAAATGACTACATCCAACAGTCACACGGATGAGTTATAGAAAACCCATTACGTTGAAGACATCAGAGTATTTTTCAGTTGCGCCAATGAGAAACCCTACTCTGGATTTAACCCAATCAGAAATCTAGGTGTGTCTTTTGACCCATGTGAAACGTAAATTAACAATCTTATGTATCTAAGAAACAAACTGAATATGTAGAACAGTGAAGTTATATGTCCATGTCATCTTATACCTCAGGTAGTTCTTAAAGTTATTTTAAACTGACGGTTAGCAACAAACATGACTTCAAGTACTCCAGTAACTTTTCAACAAAAACATCTAGTTGTTTATCGACTATGCTAGTTCAACAGAGTTAGAAGCTAAAACTTATTCCTCATGTTATAGAAAAATGCTACAGAATCATTTCGTAATCCTAATTATTTAAGGAACTGACCCAGCTTATAGGACAGATAAGTGGAACGTTAATATATTAACGTTTAACATACCATTATTTCATGGTCCGTCACACTAAACACTTGACTAACAAGTGCCATCCAAAATCTACGAGACCAGCTAGTGTAAACCAACTAATTTCTTTGAGATGTTACGGTTCAGTTTCGGGTCTAATGTAGATAGTCTAGCCACTAGGCTGCACTAATTCTAATCAATTTGACGGTCTTTCAGATGCCGATATGTCCTGATGATACGTACGTATGATTCACGTGAATGAGTTTGTCCCATTGCAGTGCGGTTGCTGGAAACAGTAACTATAGACAGAGCAGTTATCGACATAAGAATTCTCAGAACTTGGGATATAGAAACTGCGAGAGAGAAAGAGTTCGATTTAAATAAACGAATTAATCAACTGACCGATAGGTCGCTCACTTAAGTAAGTAACAAACGATCCGGAAAGATAGGGTTATCTCCAGGTTTTGGGGGATTTTGTGATGTTTGCGCCATTTTCCTAAAGAGCCTATTGTGGCTACCTAAAATGGACAAAATTTTCTACCACCCTGTTAACAGGGATGTTGCAAGATGAGCATATAAATATCTATGGATCAGCGTTATTAAACTCAATAGTACTGAGAAATACTTGACTTAATTAAAAAATAAAGATGATTCATGATACTGAAAATCACTCTGATACTGTATAATACTTAGCAAAGGCATTCCATACCATGTTAACCAAAGTACAGAATTTTGAAATATAGACACCTGAAGGTCAACTTTAGGTTATCGCTGTAACAGTTAATTTTGGTAGGTTTGCATCTAGCTTGAATGATCGTTGTAATCTGGGGGATTATGAAGAGAATTGCCTGTGAGTAAACATCTAAGGCAAACGAATCAGAGTAAAAGTGAGCAGACGATTCGATAAACACACAGAATATATTTTTATTCGGTAATGAAGATAATCGATAACAACTAGCCATAACATATTGTCAAAGTTAAGAGCTCAAAGGGTGAGATTTTCAATAATTTTGGGAATATTGGATTTCTGGAAACTTTTTATTGTGATGCTTAACTGATAAATCCTATATTTCTAGTCCACCAATAATTGATAACATACAAAACGCTCCACTGTAAATCCGACTAGTGTATTTCAATCCAAGTTATTCTATGAGTCTCCTGGTTTAGGTGAAAAAATGTTGAATATGATAAAGGAATAGAGTTGTTGTGGTTATTGTGTTTACGTTTCGGAAGATACACTCTTCCTCCAACTTCAATAACGAGAATCAGTTCAGTCAAATTTCTCTGAGCCTTTTACAACAGCTCACTATTTCTGTTTAGGTAAGGGATGGCTGCTTGTATTCAGAACCCGAATTTCGGCTGCACGAACACTGTATAAAAAGTCAACAACTTCCTGGCATAGGTATTGACCATAGTGTTCTAAAACCTTTGGTCGTTATCGCACGGTAGTGTACAGTAGTTTTCTAGCATTGGCTTATTATGACTTTTAAGTTATTATGTGTCTGGACAGTAGGTAGCTCAACGCTATTCACTGTGTATGTATCTTTATATCAGTGATCAATATGCACCACAATGCACTTGGAAGTATTTATCGGCAGCTGAAAAATTTTAGTCCGGTCAGATTATTTTCTCAAGGCATTTCGAAGCTGTAAACCATCACCTTTACTTCTTATCGCTCTCAGTATCTTGACATTGTCAGCACAAAACAAAACCGATAATGACAGGAGACTAGCAAGCTTATTACATAAAAGAGGAACAACACTGACCCCGAAACTGTACGCTGGCGCACTCCGCTAAGTGCAGTTTTCTTGCTAGACATTTTTTACTTCACGTGTACTCTTTGTTGGAGCCCAAGTGGGAAGTATTTTATCGACACAAACAAAGCGCTTCTAATTGTAATATTACTTAAACTATATAACAGCCTTTTGTGAGGAACTTTGTCAAAAGCCTTGCTGAAGTCAATGTAGGCTACTTCTATGGGTAACTTTCAATCTTTAGGAGCGCACCAAATCTCACGGGCTACAAATAAGTTGGTGAGACACTTGATATCCTTCTCTAAAGACATACTGCTTTTCAGAAAGAATCCGATTTTTGTTACGACACTAATACAACTTCCGAATGATCTTTTCTAAAATTTTAACAACCTCTCAGATTAGGCTTACAGGTCCATAGTTCTCCGGTTTATGTCTCGTACGTGTTTCGAAGATAGGACTTATTATGACGTTCCTCTAGTCTTCTGGTAATCGACCCTGGGTTACAGATGGATACCAACCAAATTTGCTAGTTCCTTTAGTAACCTAGGATGCATTTCATTGAGCTCCATGAATTTGTCTATATCAAGCTCATTTAGCGGACCAAAGACATCGAGTTCTTCAATAGTCAGAGTGTCCAGTGTATGTGGGGGAGTGGTTTGTACGAACTGAGGGGGGGCATCTCTCTGGTGTAGATATTGCTAAAACAGTTCTAGGATATCTGAGCTTTACCATAGCCGTCCTCCATCAATGGTGGAGTACTACTGTCTCCATATAGTGCTAGAATATTTCGTATTCTCATAGTCCTTTGGTTTATGTACAAGTTTGAGCGTTTCAAATATTTTTTAAAGTCGTTATCAATCTTTTCTTCGTACAATTTTCTAGACTTACGGAGGGTCGAGGTAAAAAGATTTCGAGCTTCTCAGTCCTGTGATTTCGTCTTGTCAGTACCCGGTATTTTAAATCTCTCCTGTTCTTCTCTTCTTACGAGGAAGGGAGCGAACCTACTTACTGAATCGTGTTGGAGGGTCTATCGGACTCCTTAGTGTGGTCCAAATTATGTGTGGTGCAATGACTTTTAAGTACGCTTTCTGAATACACCCCAGGGCGTCTTAGTAAGGAGAACAGGTTCTATTATCCAATTCAGTGAGGATGCCGAGTGCATAATACCTTGTATATCTGCTTCCTAGATGTTTGGTCTAAATCGAGCTGACGCGTGCTCCCCCTGTACGTTTCTGAATTCTGTCGTCTCTTACTAATGTGAAGCCCTGAAAATCAAGTTGCTTACTGTCTAGTGACTGCGTCAGTCAAGATTCTGTGGCTGCAATTGAATCCGGTTTGGTGGTCTGGCTGTACACCAGGCTTCAATAACTAGTTAGGCAAGCCCAGGGCATTTGTGTAACAGATCGGAAGCCCATTCAAACGACTCGGTTCTGCACCAAGAGTGGCTTCAGTATCATTATCTGACGAAGCCTCATCATCCGAAAGATTACAATTTTTAGGTTCTCCTCATCAGCAATTGACCAAATTTTGTTTCTTTTTCTGCTTCCTGACTTTTCATACGGTCTGCGAGTGTTGAATCTCGTGACCCATTTAGTTTATGCCTATTGTGCAATGTTAAGACCCTTTTATTAGGAGATTTAATTGCTACTTTGGCAGCCTGGTTTGATTCTCTTTCAAGTCTATTTGGCTACCTTATTCATAAACCTTAAGCAAAATGATTCCGTAAATATTCTGAAGCATTAACCGGTTTGATAGCTGTTTTTTCAACTCCACATCATGCCTTAAACGAGCTCTGAGCTTCGAGTTTTCCTTCCCCTTGACTCTATGAAAGACAATTGGCTGGTTACTGTGACCAATCTTTAATTTCTTAGCTACTTTTTGGAGAATAGTCTTTTCTTTGTCAGCATTAAGTCATTTATCATTTCCGATCTCTATTCATTTACCAACGTTCGTTGCAGTAGTAATCATAGTTGCGTCACTCACGCTGCGAGATTCTGAATGATTACCTACGATCGGCCTATGTAAGTCAATCGTTTATGAGCATATCTGAAGCAAATCCTCAATAATTCATGCATCGACTGAGCGAGTACAGTTTGATGTGCCCCAATACTCCTTTTAACAGCATTCATCACTGCAATGGATTCGGATAGTGAGCTGTTTAAGTCCGAAGAGCACAACTACACGTAATTATTTTTGATGTACCGTTTGAGATCAACGGGCGTTATATTCATGAACATTTTGACAAACCATTATTTGCACTCATCTCTTTGCATGCCACTTCCCATAAAGTATGGACAGCCTGGGAGTTGGTAACTTCTTTTTTCCCTGTCCATTCATCAATCAGAGGTTTTCAAGAGAAACTAGACAAAAGCAATGCCCAGAGAGAAGAGAAACAGATGACCAGGAAAAGTTAAAAACTTTAAACTGTCAGAATCAGAAGTGCGGACAAATACAAGGAACCAGTGTACTCAGAAGTACAGATGAAAATATACTTATGAAGAAAAACAATACTCTTGACGAATACGTTAGAAATAAATTTAGTTATTACGAAAAATGTAGATTTGATGGGTAATATATGATCAAATCCGTAAAATTAGCTCAACGAGGAAAAATAACACTGTCTTTTTCAAGTAGAGCACGACAGGTGGTCGGGAAAAATGGAATTTAAGTCCAGACCAGTCTGTTGAAGACGCCAACTGCTACGTATTATTTTGTGCTTCTTGATAATGATCCCAGATTAATTTCGCAGCTACTGGTGATGGCTAAGGGCAAATTTATATGTTGCAAATGTTTTCTGTTGTACACCAAGGAGATGCTGAAAAAAAGGGAAAAAGGGAAAGGCGATAAGCAGCACGGATAGTGCTCATGACTAGTGTGGTTTAGTCGTTTTTTATGGTATGACCACCAAGAATCATCCACTTTTATTAGGTCGATTTCTAGGTAAATATATTTTACTAGGTTAAAGGAAGAAGGCCAAAGTAATGTGTTTAATGAATAAGAGATTGTCTAAATGGAACTAATTTAAAAACTTGAAATTTAAGGATTGTGTATTTTAAAACTTTAGCTGGAAAACTTTGAACGACAACAAGCGTTTTTAGGTCAAGATTATTACAACTTACTTTTATTTTTATAACTTTTGCAGTCATAAGTGAACTCTTATTTGGCGTAACTGTCCAGTTTTGTTTGCAATTGGATTTCTCGGTACGAAGTAGAGCCAAATCACGGTTACAAACATGAGTCAAATAGGTATTTAGCACAATAAAATAACGTCAAGACCGTTAATTTGATAAAGCCCTCTTAGCCATAATTGACCGTAATTAAACAAAAGGTTCTGCCCTTGAGATAAGGGTGGACCGAAGTCATCTCCTCTTTATCATGCTTGCTGGTCAGTAATACCACCCTCTCTCCTCTTGTGATGCTGGGATCTCTCAAATTTGCGGGCTTTTTATTGCAAACCCTGTCGGAATACATTCTCTACCAGTTCAATTTTACAAGCAAATCAGACATCCAACTATTTTTTATTGTGGGTTAGACCTTCAGTTGGTATATCGCACTGATGTGAGGTTAACTAATGATACAAGTTATAAGATAATAGTCAACTAATATGTGGGTTAGAGATTATAAGGGCAAGCAGCTGACGGAAGAATATGAAAAAAGTGTTCATGGTTGCGAAATCTATGACTAGAACGATAAGCAAGTAGGAAAACACAATATTTGGATGCTAGTATTAACAAGGAAATTTTAACTTTTAGGACATGAACTACAAGAAACCTATAATTATTCAGGATATTCTGAGCTTTCTATGATCGCTAAAGTTCAGCATCGCTCGAAAGGTTAGCTATGTATCTTTCTGCATACTAGTGAATGGAAAGTCACTTTGTTCAATGTTCAGTACCACCACCAAATCTTCACTAGACACTAACATCTCCTCTAAAGTTGCTTTCACACCATTTACTCCCTATATCAGCCAATAGACCAGGTCTAAACTTCGAAAACTGAAAAGAATGTAATATATATCAA